TTAAAATGTCTTCTACTAATAATAAAAACAACAAATATTTGTGCAAATGTAATTATTGTTTAGAAAAAAACAAAGATGGTCGTTGGTTAGCAAAAGCAATATATAATTTACATTTACGGCGGCAAAGACATTTTTAACAAATTAATACAAGAATCAATGAATATACTAATCCACTATTATTAAATAATGATGAGAATAATGAGTATATAATTGATTTATTAATTATTTAATTAATTATTTAATTTTGAATTAATTTAATTTTTTTAAATTTCGAAAATAATTTTAGTATAACTAATGAATCTAAAGATATGCAATTAGATTTTGATAATAAATTTGAATCTAATGAACTTGAATTACTATTATCTAATAATTAATCTGAATCTAAAATATTATCATCTGATATTGAATCAAATTCAAAATTAGAAGAAATACTTAAAACTAATAATGAACTTGAAATATTATTATCTGATATTGAATCAAATTTAGAATTAGAAGAAATACTTGAAACTAATTATGAACCTGAAATATTATCATCTGATATTGAATCAAATTCAGAATTAGAAGAAATACCTGAAACTAATAATGAACCTAAAATATTATCATCTGATATTGAATCAAATTCAGAATTAAAGAAATACTTGAAACTAATAATGAATTTGAAATATTATCATCTGATATTGAATCAAATTCAGAATTAGAAGAAATACTTGAAACTAATAATAAACCTGAATTATCATCTGATGTCGAATTAAATTCAGAATTAGAAGAAATACTTGAAAATGATAATAATTTTATAGAATATTTTTTAGACGATTCTGGTAATATTTAATGCTAATATTTAAATACTAATATTTAATTAGTTATTGTTATACTTACTATTAAATCATACAGAAGCAGAAGCAGAAATAGAAGAATAAAATAATTCAATGAAGAAAGCTCTTAAATTGCTTGAACTTAAAGCACAAAAAGAAACTTTAACGAATCAAATGTATCAAGAAATATTAGAAACTTTTAATTGTGAAAATATAACATTATATTCAGCAAAAAAATTTTTAGCAAATATGGTTCCTTTAACAGCAACATTTATCAATATGTGTGTAGATTCATGTTGCATATTTACTGGACAATATAAGCAGCTTTCTAATTGTCCTATATGCGATAAACTATGTTATATTAACCAAGAGAAGGCTCGCAAGAAAGCTACATATTTTTCTCTTAAAGATAATTTCAAAATTCAATTTAAAAATCAAAATTATATTGAAAAAATTTTATATAGATCTAAATATCAATCTAATAGAGGATCTTATAATAATATTTTCGATGGTATTTTATATAAAGATCTTTGTCAAGAAGGTTTTTTTTCTAATCCTTATAATATATGTCTTATTGGATCTACTAATGGTTATCAAATATTTCAACAAAAATGAAATAATTGTTGGGTTTTTTTATATATTAATGCAAACTTACCTCCTGATGAACATATAAAAAAAGAAAATTTACTTATTGCTGAAATAATTCCTGAACCAAATAGTCCAAAAAAAATGAATACATTTCTTTAACCATTAGTCAATAAGCTTAAAATATTAGAATATATGTATTTATTAATTAATAATTTTTGTTAATAATTTTTTAAAATTAAATAAATTAACAATTAATATTATTATCAT